GTTGAGAGTGGCGGCGCCCCAACCCCCTGATCCACCCTGCTCCGTGTGTGACGGGGCGGTACCCCAACTCCCCTATTGGCCCTACTCTGTAAGTGACAGGGGGAGCTCCCCAAACCCCTGATGGGCCCTGCTTTGTGCATGACAGGGGGTGGCGCCGCAACCTCCCCATCGACCCTGCCTTGAGTGTGACAGGGGACGGTGCCCCAACCCCCCAATTGGCCCTACCCTGAGCGTGACTGAGGGTGGCATCGCAGCCTCCCAATCGGCCCTGCTCTGTGCATGACAGGGGGCGGCACCCCAACTCCCCAATCGGCCCTGCTCTGAGCCCGACCAGGGACTGCACCTAGGGATTGGGCCTGCCCTCTGCAACCCGGGAGCAGGCCTAAGCCAGCAGGTCATTATCTCCCGAGGGGTCCCAGACTGCAAGAGGGCACAGGCCGGGCTGAGGGACCCCCTCTTCCCCCCGAGTGCACAAATTTTTGTGCACTGGGCCTCTAGTTATAAATAATTGTGTATTACAATATTATGTATCACACAAAGGATAATGTGCTCTTCTCTATCTTCCTTCTGAGGTTGTTGCATGGCATAGATATAGAGTATAGCTAGAACTATGAAAGGAAAAGGTCTGCTGCTCCTGAGGTGGCCACTAGCAAAGATTTAGCGTAAAGTTTTCAGATAATTCCTATGTAAATGCCAACATATACAACTTTAATGTTTTACCCAGTAAGCATCATTCTATTATAGTTGCTTATTTAGTAAGTCCTCCTTATTTTATAAAGGAGTAAAAATTATTTCATTAAAAATGTTCACAGAGATCATTTCATTATTCCTTTCAATTTAAGAAAACTAGGGTTGGGAATACTCTCTCAGTGACATTTACAGAGTTTTAATTTTAGATCCATTTTTAAATTTTATTTTTCTTCTCTTTTTTAGGAGTTTAATCTGATTGATAGGCGTGAGCTGGCACCTCTTCAGGAATTAATTGAGAAGCTTGGATCAAAAGACAGATAAATGCTTCTTCTAGTACACAATTACCCTCTTGCTTCATCTACTGCTAGAGCTATCTCATTGCTGTCTGTTATAGACTAGTGATACAAACTTTTAAGAAACAGGATAAAAAGACCTATTGTCCCAAAAGTAGGTTGGCCTGATACCTTCAGAGTAAGAAATTCAGGACACAGCCAGATTTGAGGCACTGTGTCACCACACTTGCTGTTAATATGTGATGGTTAATCTGTAGTTTATCAGTTTACATATTATTCTTTTACTAAAGAAAATGGTTTAGTCTGTTTCAGGTTATAGCATAATGGATATTAAGAATTTCTACCAATAATTTATTAACAAGTTTCCACAACAAATTTGTTAATATCTCAGATAGGTTTTATTCTGCTTATAGAAGAGGTGTTTTTAAGTTTCCTTAAGGTTTAGAACAATTTGTGTCACTTTGGATAAATATGTTGTTTGAAGTTATATACTAGTGTTTTTATAGATAATATGCATATTTTTTCAAAATCCATGATTGCCATTTAAATCATATGACATATGTGGGAGTAACCAAATGACTTTACTTTTTAATCTTAATTTGGGATTTTATTCACATACGAACCTAACTCAATGTTTAGGAGAGTGTGCATATTAGAAATAATTGTTTTAAGGCATCCAAAGTGGTCTTGCAGATTTTTTTTTAAATACTTCATTCAGGTTAATTTGAATATGTAGCTTTTGGCTGACAAAAAGCAAATTTCCAAAAAATTAAGACAAATTTAGGCCTCAAACCACTATTTTCATTCATGTTGTCTTTCAGACGGCTTTGAAATTCTGGATAGAATGAAAAATACTCAGATTACTTGATAGTTTTGAGTTTCCTTTTTAAAAAAATGATTTCTATGTGTTTTGGGGTGTTTGTTTTTTTTGTGTGTGTGGCTTGAGACTTAGTGAAGAGTACTATAGAAATGCATCAGCTTTATCCCAATAAGGATAAAACTTAAGGAAAAAATCTTGCAAAAAACATCTTGAAAGGTGTACACATTTTATAACACAGTTAAAAGTTTGATGTGTTTCCTATTCTTGTGTTTGTGTGTGCGCTTAAAGGAGACAGCATTGGAGGAATAAGTAAAAAAAAAAAAGGTCTTTATTCTGTTATTAGTTAAAGGATGGATTGAGCTCCTTTGGGGGTTTTATCCTGTGTTAACTATTGTATCAAAACCTGAATTTATTCTATTTCTATTCAGATAAAAAGGATCTCCCCTTTTAATGAAGAAAAGATCTGATTTTCATTAGGCTTCTAGGATTTAGTGGACTCTGACAGTTTAAAAGTATTGAGGCACAAATATATTAAAGACTTGCCAGACAGCAGCCACTTTAAGTTCACCAGCATTCTGTTTCAGAGTTGTGACTTTTGCAAAGTACCAACTTCTTGATGGCTTTGGCAAAGGTTAGCTTTGATAGGGTTGTTTTTTTTTTTCGTTACTGTTATTATTCCACTCGTGTATAAGGAAGAGAATAACTTAGAACTCTTAAAAACTCAGTTTCAATAAATTATTAAATATATTCAGAATTTTAAAGGAAACAAAACATTTCATCTAATTAGGCTGAAACTACCTCATGGTTTTTTTTAGGAATTAAAGAGTGGGATAATCACCTATGAAAAAAAGAGAAAACCCTCTATGAGACATTCCATGGTCCACATTTTAAGTTTATTCAAAGGTCCCTGTCAAGCTGTGTATATGTTTATGTTGATTCTTTACAAATAAGAAGGCAGGTTTCTGGATACCACTGAGAATGTTACTGCCTCTCAACTATTGGCTTTAATTAAGTCTGCAAGGAAGTTGCACTTGCATCATCATTTCTAATATTTCAAATATTCTCAAACAAAAGGGTTCTCAGTTTTCTCCATCTATTTTTCATGATAGAAATCCACCCCTCTCTTCAAGACTCAGCCCAAAATGAACCAAAGACTGTAACGTTAGAATAGTAAAGGCAGCGTACTAGTGACACAAATAAAATTGTTGGTAATTTGAGACTCAGAATGGCCTTTTAAAAAATAAAAACATTACCAGGTTCCCATACTAATCTGGCTTAATCAGCAATGCATCCAAACATCAGTGTTAACTTTTTTTGTTTATATCCAAGGCCAAGGAGTTGAGGGCAGGAGAATTGGAGGAATGGGGAGAGGTTGGCCCCTTCTTGACTTGGCTAACGGGCCAACTTTTGCTAACAGTTGGAAGAAATCTGTCTTTGACTCTCATTTTTGACTTGTCTCTCTTTGCCCAGCATATGCCTCTTGGACAACACTCCCTACCCTGACCCCTCCTAATCACAAGCCATCTCTCAATGTATGATCCACTCATACCTGATAATCGTGGGGTGGAGCGGGAGTGCTTTATAATATGCATTTAATCCTTTGGTGCTTTTATTTTCAGGCCTTTAAAATAAAATGTGCAGATTTTTGTTTAAATATTGAAATTTCCTTGTACTAGTTTTTGTATTTACAGCCAAATGTATCTTTTATTCTGATCTTGACTGAATAAAGTGATTTTAGAGGGCTGCCAGCTAAAAAAGTATTTCCTATCACCTTAAGACTTGTAGAGCCCCTAGCTCATGTAGCTGCCTGTTCAAGAAATGCAAATCTGTAGTCATCATGACTCTGATAACAAAAAAGGAAAGTTTTCCTAGTCATGTGAGGCAAGAGGAGCAATCCTGGTGCTGATTTTAACTTTAGCAAACATTGTTGAGGTTTCCTGATTATACTGTTGGCCTTTTCTCTGAGCAGTGAGGTTATACTAGAAGTAGAGCTTCTGAAAACATTATTACCTCACAAGCATAAACAAACCAGGCCTACAGAATGTAAGTCCTAGAAATTTGTTTAGAAGTAGCCCCAGTCACAGCACTGGTGTTACCCCTGTGTGGTTAGAGGAGGCCGTCTGCTGTCTGTAGAACTCCAGCCTAAAAAATGCTGGCCTGGGACACCAAACTGAGCATCTTCAACAGGGACATTATTTCCTCCTGATATTTGTTCCAATAAGTGGTTTACTATTTATTGTAGAATTCTGGCAAAGAGGGAAAATAGTAGTCCCTCAGCCTTCCTGTATTTTTACATTAGATTTTGATATTTCAGACTGTAAAAGCCTTTTGGGGTATATTACATGTGATTGTAATTTTATTGAAGCAACTGCATTGAAATTCACTTGGGTTTTCCCTCATTATCAGATTCTATTCCAAACAAGTATTCTGTAAATCCAAATAGACTGCTGATTTATTATGTTTGGTCTACATCAAAAATAGCTTGTATAAGTTAGTTTTGGTTACCATCTAAAATATTTTTAAATGTTCTTTACATGAAAACTTACGTTGTATTTTTAAATCTTTAGGGGCTTTATCTATTTTTCTAAGTCAGTTAACTATACTTTAAAAAAATAATTTGTATCTACTTTTGTAACTTCATCAGAATAAAATATATTGAAAGAAAGTAATGACTAAGATATGTGTCTCAATACACTTATTTGTGAAACTTGAGAATTTTTGCAGCCTCTGCAGAAGATTGTCTTTGCTTAACATTTAGTAGCTAAAATGTTTTCTTACCTCTTAGAAGAAAGGGTACAGTGGCTAAAGCACATCCCAGAGAAAAAAACAAGTGGTCTCCTTTCTACCTTGCTAACCCAGATCTACATTCCTGCCTATGAGATTGAGAAAAGGGAAGAGGACAGACTAGACTTCTTAATTTTCTGACCTTGAAATTGAGTACTCAGCATTATCTAAAAGACACCCCCACCTCAGCCATTTTTCATTATTGTATGAGAAATATTATTTTTAGAGGTCCAAATTATAGATACTTAATTTTAGGTCCAGTCAAAATAGTGCTAGGATTATTTTGACCTTCATTGGGTAAAGTTAAAATTAAAAACTTTAATAAATGTGAAATAAAAACTTAATGACTTTTTGGAATTTTTGGACAGTTTTATTAGGTTTAAAATTGACTATAAAAATGTTAAGTATCTAATGGCTAAATTTGAAAGCTATTTCAAACTTTATAAATGAGTAGTAGAATAAACCAAATAATCTTTGGAAGGGCCAGAGTCATTCTTCAAAGTTGCACAGTCAGAAACAATGTCCAAAACACGCCTTGGACCTTCTCTATCAGATACTCCATTGCTCTCTGGCTAGGTATGGACACCTCAACCTGCATCTTTACCACTGACCACTAGATGTCAGTCTCTGAGCTCCCAAAAGCTAGATGTGTGTGTCCTGACTAGAATAAGGAATTTTAGGGGGGAGAACCAAGATGGAGGCATAGGTAAACACCTGTATCTGCCACATCCCACAACCACATCAAAATTACAACTAGAATACAGAATAACTATCATTCAGAACTGCCTGAAAGTTGGGTGAATGGAAATCCTACAACTAGAGAAGTAAAGAAGAAAGCACATTGAGACTGGTAGGAGGGCAGGAGGTGCAGGACAGACTGGTCCGGCACCCTTGTGTGCTGCATTTGTTAATTGGGAGGGAGATCATCTCTGCAGAGGCCCCTCATGTGGTCAAGGGGTGCCAACTCCACACCAGACCCCTAACCCAGGGTCTCAGAGCTGGGAAGAGAAGTCCCTGCAACCATGAGCTATAAAAACCTGTGGGGATTGTGGCTACAGAACAGGGGCCGCCAGAGACCCAGGTGTCCCTCATAAAGGGCAGGTGCACAAACTTACTTGGACTCAACCCCTATGAGCTCCAGCACTAGAAGGTGTTGGGGAACCCAGACACATGCAGTGAGGAACTGGATTGTCTGGCATCAGAGCAGCTTTCTTCCAGACAGGGGTGCTTGCAGGAGTCATTGTTCCTGTGCTGGGACATCCCCTGTCTGGATGGCAGCCATATCTGAGTCCCCATTAACCTGGCTCAAACCATTTTCTTGGCCCTGGTGATTCCTTGAGACCCTGCCCCATACTATTTACAGTCCCACCCAAGCTGTTTGTAGCAGCTTTTCCATATGAACGGCCTGTCCTGGCTCAGGTTTCAGACTTTGCTAAAATCTCTCAAACAAGCTGCAGCTAGTGACAGCATGTCCCAAACCTATCAAAAGGCCCACAACCAGGCATTAGCACCAGCCTGCCTTGCTTCACAGCTGGACCTCGCCTGGGCACTTCCAAACCCAATACAAATAGAAGCCATCTGCAGATTTTTCTTTAGCTCCTGCCAGGTGGCCCCAGGCAATGGCTAATTTTGCACCTCCCTGGAGATCCTAGAGCCAGTGCACCCATGGACAGCTTCAGACCATAGCAGATTACAATTCTATATATTCACAAGTGACACACTCAAGGGGCAGACTCAGTGAGCACCAAAGCCCCACTGAAGCAAGTCCTCCATAGGGGTATTTCCTGCACAGCAGCTCTCCCACTGTAGTCACAGCTGGTCTTCATAGCCAGTTGGCCTGGAGGTCAATTCCTCCCAGTGGCACCAACAGCAATCAAGGCTCAACTACAAGAGTGCACAAGCCCACACAGTGGTGCACCTAGAGTACCCAACTCAGGTGACTGGGGAGGCTGAGCCACTGAGCCCTACAGGACACCTACTACACAAGGCCACTCTACCAACTCCAAGAGACATAGCTCTATCTAATACATAGAAACAAACTGGGAAGCAGCCAAAATGCAGAGACAACGAAGCATGTCACAAATGAAAGAAATGGAAGCAAGCAAACTACTGGATACAGAGTTTAAAACCATGGTTAAAAGGTTACTCAAGGATCTTCATGAGAGCTTCAAGGGACTTAGCAAAATTTTCAAGGATCTTAGAATGTCAAAAACATGAAAAAGGACCAGTCAGAAATTAAGCATACAGTAACTGAAATAAAGAATAGTTTACAGGGATTCAACAGTGGAGTAGAGGAGCCTAAGAATCAAATTACCAACTTGAAATATGAGGAAGCACAACAAAAACAACAAAAAACCCAATCAGAAGAGCATAAAGAAAAAAGAACCCCCAAAATATGAAGAGAATGTAAGGAGCCTCAGGGACAACTTCAATAAATACATATCTATCAACAATTGAATCTAAAAATAAATGAACAAGATACCTACTGAACAAAAATAACTAGTAAATAAAATAGAACATGGGACTGACAAATCTCAGAGGGAAAAGGGTAAGGGGGCGGGAAGAGATTAACCAAAGATCTTACATGCATATATGCATTATCTAGGGACACACACAATAGGGTGGTGAAGGCCTGGGGCTGGGTGGGAACCAGGTGAAGGGGAGCTATGGGGGGGAAAAAGGGGGCATCTGTAGTACTCAACAATAAAAATTTTAAAAAAATAGAAGATACAAACAAATGGAGTGTATACCATGTTCATAAATTGGAAGAAATAACATGATTAAAATGTCTATACTACCCAGAGCAATCTACAGCTTCAACACAATCCCTATTAAAATACCAATGGCATATTTCACAGAGCTAGAACAAATAATCTAAAATTTTATATGGAACCATAAAAGACCCCAAATAGCTGCAGCAATCTTGAGAAAGAAGAACAAAGTAAGAGGAATCACAATACTGGATATCAAACTGGTCTACAAAGCCATTGTAACCAAAACAGCCTGGTATTGGTACAAGAACAGGCATATACCTAAACCAATGGATCAGAACACAGACCCCAGAAATTGACCCACACCATTTACGGTCAATTAATATTTAACAAAAGAGGTAAGAACATACAATGGAGTAAAGACAGTCTCTTCAACCAATGGTGTTGGGAAAACGACACATGCAAAAAGATGAAACTAGACCACCAACAAGAATAAACTCAAGATGCATAAAAGACTTAAAAGTAAGGCATGAAACCATAAAAATGTTAGAGGAGAACATAGGCCAGTGATGGCGAACCTTTGACACGCCTGTCAGAGGTGACAGGTGAACTCATTTTTTTGATTGATTTGTTAAATGGCATTTAAATATATAAAATAAATATAAAAAATGTAACTCTTTATTTTACTATGGTGTCAAATATCAAAAAATTTCTATATGTGACACGGCACCAGAGTTAAGTTAGGGTTTTTCAAAATGCCGACATGCCAAGCTCAAAAGGTTCGCCATCACTGAATAGGCAGTAAAGTCTCAGACGTCTCACTTAGCAATATGCTTACGGATACATCTCCTAGGGCCGTGGCCGGAAAACTGTGGCTCTTTGGCCCCTTGAGTGTAGCTCTTCCTAAGCCTTAGGAGTACCCTAATTAAGTTAATAGCAATGTACCTACCTATATAGTTTAAGTTTTAAAAATTTGGCTCTCAAAAGAAATTTCAATCCTTGTACTATTGATATTTGACTCTGGTGACTAATGAGTTTGCCGACTACTGTCCTAGGGCAAATGATCCTCTCCTGGGACCTCTCACAACCCCTTAGACTATCTTATCTGACACGTGTAATCTTCTGCTTTGCATGGGAGTTACCTGGGAATGCAGACTGGTGCAGCTA